TGTGTGTGTGTGTGTGTGTGTGTGTGTGTGTGTGTGTGTGTGTGTGTGTGTGTGTGTGTGTGTGTGTGTGTGTGTGTGTGTACACACGTGCATGTGCACATGTGTGCCTATGTGTATGTACACGGGTGCATATTTTGCACACATACACATACAACAAAAATGATGGGAAAAAAATGAAAGCATGCATCTATAAGAATAACCACAGGTAATTTCCTCTGAATTTTGTATAAAAAAAAAAAAAAAAAAAAAAATCACAGCATTGGGTTGGTAAGGCTCTCAAGACCCATTTTCAGATTCTGAACCTGTAGGCAGAGATGAGGTAGAGGAACAAGTTAAGATGGTCACGGATGACAACATCATATCATGTCAAGTAAGTATGGGGCTCGCAGAGCCCAATTTTCAATGACTCAAATAAGTCTTTGATAATCATAGCAGATATGTCCAAAAATGATATCAGAAAGCCCTTTGAGAATGTGAGTGAAATAATATGTGTAAAGTACTCACACTAACTACAAATGGCCAGAAAACTGATCATTTATCCACACATCAACTGTATATTTTATATATCAGCTCTACAATATATACTGCCAGAGTCATTCAGCTACAAAAGGCCCTCAGTAAATACCTCAGTACTACGAGTATGAGGATGATCCATGCATGAACTTGTATGTTATAATCACCTAAATCACACAACACAAACACATCATCATCACACTGGAATATTCAATTAATTATACTTATATTACACATCAATTTGGCTGTTAATGTCCTTATCCAAAATATAAATAACCTTTGATGCAATGGCCATATTGCACACATTCGTAACTTCAATTTATACTTTCTTTAGTGTGTAAGAAATGAAGATAGTATATATAACAATAAGGTGATATATACTTCATATGGCCACATGAACAAGAGAAAACACAAAGATGAAAATAAAAATAAAAAACAAATGCGAATCTTGTTTATAATTCCTCTTTTTAATGTTTTACATTTTTTATGCAAATAATCCATGTCACTAAGAAAAATAGTGATAAAGATGATGATAAAAGCAATCATAACAACAAAAATAATAAATGATAAAATTATATAATCAATTTTTGATGATGATGATGATGATGATAATATATAATAATAATAATAATATTAATAATAATAATAATAATAATAATAATAATAATAATAATAATAATAACAACAATAACAAAATAATAATGATAATAATAATAATGATGATAACAATAACAATAATAACAATATTAATAATAACAATTATCTAATAATAATAATAACAATAATAATAATAATAATAATAATAATAAAATAAAAATAATAATGATTACAAAATTTTCAATTACAGTCATCTATTTATCTGACTGTTTTTCTATAAGAATATCAACTTTTCTTTTCACATTATGCATGCCTTTGTGTCACAGATACAGTGTGTACATTAGTAAAATGTTAGTAACTCTAAAAATGACAATATCCTTATTTTTACACATGAACATCATGTTTTGCATTAATCACTCAATCTGCTTCACATCTTGATAGTCTTAACACTTTACCACCCAGAAAGAAAATTCATTGGCTACATATACTATCATATGAACCCAGATGTCGGGTATTCGCAAAAGGACATACGTGACGGCATAAGCATCATATAAAGAGATGCCAGACAAGGAAGATATTCAGGGTAAATAAATGTTTTGAATGCAAAGACGTTTTACTGTAAGAATACGTTGAAATGAGGAAAAATGTATTTGCCAGTTGGACCCACCCTTGAGCGGTAAAGGGTTAAAGAAATAAAGGAAAGAGATAAGGAAAGTGAGACTACAAACAGACATATGAATTCCTATAATAAATATTGGCATTTAAAGGCTAATCAATATAAAAGCACTTGAACAGGAAGAAGAAATATATATTATATATATATATATATATATATATATATATATATATATATATATATATATATATATTATATGTATCACAAAAGAAAGCCCTTCATTTTAATATTGAAATGAAGTAATTGTTACAGAACGATTGCTTTTTCCTTTACATTCACACCAATGAATCAAGAGATTTTTTTGCATCTAATCTTATGGATAAAAAAAATCTAGACCTACATTGTCAGGGAAAGACATTAATAAATATAAAAAACTGAATAAGTACACAGATAAACGATATTCAGAAAGAGAAATGAAAGCCCTACATGAATATATGCAGTACAAAAAAACCTATCTTGTAAATGATCAATCCCTATCTAACACTAACAATGTTCATAATGAGGCATATGAATTGCAAAAAAAAAAAAAAGAATATGTATGAAGCATCATTTAAATGCTGTGCTATCAATGGTTATCAAACATATACCCAATTACACTGCTTAGTCAAAAAATTATATGGTTGATGCACTGACTCCAATACAGAGCAATATGTTTTCTATCAACCTTCCTGTCTCCTCGAACTTGGCATGATTTACAACTTAAGGTAGTAATTATTTACATACCAATTAATTCTCTATCGATCTTCCTCTTCCTATTCCCTCGAACATAGCATGATTTACAACAGAAGGTAATAATTATTTACATACCAATCAATTACATTTTCAAACAAAGAAAAAAAAGACTTCAGTGCATTATGCAAGGAGTATACAAACTCGATGGGTCTTGCATTCTCACAAACATCTCAAAGACATAACATTAGCACCAAAAATTCCATTATTTACTTTGATAGTCCTACATCACACATAAGGAGGCTAAATATGCCAGTCTCTGTTTAATGAGTTACATACTAACAAAGATTTTTTTGTAAATCTAAATATAGAATCTGGTCCAATATTTCTAATAGTCTGATTAAGAAAGCTTAATATGAGTGACTGCTTAAGAAATACCAATGAGGAGATATAATGAATCTGATGTCAAATAGTGTTAATGAATACCCTGAAATTCATTTTCTAAGACAATGTAAAATCATTTTAAAAATGAAACAAAAGAAAATGAGAAGTATACAAACATCCGAAGAAAACTGCTCAATGGCACAGTAGTTTTCAAATTTATGCAGAGCAGATGTTCAATCCTTTTAAAAGCCTTCACACTAAACAAAATGTAGTGCATTAGTACTTTTTTTCTACACAGCCATCTGTTTTGCAAAATCTTAATGAGCGCCTCCCCAGCTTTGACAATAAGTTGTGCCTTCATCAACCTCTATAAGCACATTCAGTTTATGCCATTTTTTCCAAAATTTTGGCTATTTTACTGCACTGTGTTGGAGTTAACTTGTTTGGCGAGCTTCTTGGCTTGAATTCTCCAAATGCAAGGGATGAAGAAACAACATCAGTCCTGAGACAGCTATCATACTGCCAGCAAGAAGGAAACTGTAGTCATAGGAGCCAGTCAGATCAAAGAGTGCACCTGAAAAAGAGGAGATATAAAAAAGGATGTGTTAAGCAAGATCTTATGTAAAAAGAAAGCTATTTCTAATTCACAAACACAATCACATAACCATCACAAAAAGACACACATACAGATAAATGTAAGGATCATACAAATGGCATACAGATTTTCACGATCATAATACTTACCACACATCGGTGGGCCCAAAACAGAAGCAATGCCTTGGAACATAAGGAGAAGACCAAAGGCATTTGTGAGTCTCTCCATCCCCAACAGATCCACAAGCACAACAGATGTCAGTCCAACATACGCGCCTGACATGGATCCGAAGACTATTGCGTAAAAGATCTGGGACGCATAACTATAAAACCAAATGCTCATACAGGTACCTGTTAATAAGAAAAGAAAAGATTACTTCCTTTCCTAGGAATAGGATTAAATTATCAGACTTTGCATAAAGGAACATATTTCAAGAACAATATAAAAATGGAAGTGATATTATTTCTACTCTATCTGCATATAACACAGAAAACCATTGCTAATTATACATATACAAAATTTGAGTGTGGATGACGGAATCATTTTATTCTTTACACTATTTAACACTTATTTCTGATATTCAACCCTGACTGTGTTTTCTGACAAAAATTTCTCTTCTCTTTTTATTATATTCCAAAATGGTGCTAAAAAACTATGAAGTGCATTTTAAGGGGACCATCCCTAAAAAAAAAATCAGTTTTAATATAAAAAAAATAATAATCTACCAATTTACTTCAGCCTTCTGCACCTTTTGTTACAAAATTTGTACAAATCCCCCAAAAGGGAGCAAAGCCCCCATGTAAAATTCCCCCTGCAATTTTTTCCACATATGTCGCTTGCTTATTGCTATTGCCCACATTGTTGCACACTTTATGATAAGAAAAAAATCAGCATAACCATCAATATACCACCCAATGAGACTGGCAGAGTTGTTGTTTTTTCAAAGTTTGCCTTAGTTTCCTAAAAAAATACCTTTTCCATACTTTAAAATATTTGACAAAAGAAGAAGAAGAAGAAGAAGAAGAAGAAGAAGAAATGTGTAATTGTGTATACAATTGTGTGTACATATATATATATATATATATATATATATATATATATTATATATATATTATATATATATATATTATATATATATATATGTAAATGTGTATATGCATATATAAATGCTTGTATATGTGTAAGCCTGTGTGCATGCATACCATGTATACAGGTCTGCGAGATAATGAGAATGCTTAGAGTAACTAGCAGTTCATAGTTACCGAGTAACCTGAGTCGTTACTTTATTCATTAGAAATAACCATTTACAAAACATTGATATTTTAAAATATAAACTCACCAGTGTCTGTTTCCCATAGATATTTCTTTTCTTAGCCTAATAACATAAACATTAATTATCTTAAGGGGTATCTGACATTTCATGTGGGATCTTTAGCCTTTATATGCTTCAGTCGTTTATACTTAGTATGAGGTAGCTACATTTTTACTATTACGGGTTTTCTCGATTGCTTCGGCTCCAATTAACACAAAAAGCATGAAAAATCTCTGAATTATCCTAAACAAACAACTCGTGTTCCTTTATTCTTTGAGATAGGAGACTCACCACAGCATATGCATTATTGTTGAACCCTAATGTTATATATATAATGTCTATGTCAGATTCAAATGATATCTACCACATATTATAATGAAAAAGACATGAAAAATTGTTTGATGATTTTTAGATTTTCTTAATTTTTTCATCATAAAACCCTCACATTGGTAGGAATTTGTTATCATTAGAATTTTTCATCCTCCAGTGACTTATTTCATTAAATAACGTCAAAATACGATTCATTTTCACTCTAGTAGGGGATAAATATATACATGTAAAAATTCCTGACGCCGCATCCGAGTGTCTTGGATTCACAAACCCCATCACAGCCGTGTTTTTCTTCACGGAGGTTTTATATTCACATGGGTAATTCTACGATCCTATATGAGTGTGTAATGGGTATAGCTCATTTCTGACAAACCCAAAACCCCAAGCCCATCTACCCCAATCAAACTTAGGGATCGTCCCTTAATAACCATTTCTTTTTAGTTACAAGCTACACATAATTAGATCAATGTTTTGATATCCATTTGTAGTAAGGCAAACACTGAAATAAATAATTCGTACAAAACAAGTATTTATAAATTTTCACAAAAGTTTATAAAAAAATTAAGAGATAAATAATAAAGAAAGAAAAAGATTAATCCATCCTAAATACTGATGTAAGACCACTTACCAATGCCACAGAGGGTGAGAGCTATATTGTAGAGGTAAAGGCGATTGACCCAAGGCTGATCAGAAATATAACCAAGCAAGATACGGCTCACTGTATTAGAAATGCCAATGACTGACAACAGATATGAGGGTCCTTGTTAGGGATACCGAGCTGTTGGGCGCGATCCTGTAAGGCAAGTGTCCTGTTTTGTAACTTCTTTTAACAGTAATGCTTTTGTTAAACATATGTTCTTATTTACAAAATTCTTTCTTACAAAAAATATTTCCAAGTTGCTAATACCTCCTGGAATTGTATCATGACATTATACATTATATAGCTTCTGTAATAATAATCTTACCATTTTGCAAATATATGAATATATCAGAACTCAATAAAGACTAGTTCTCTGTATATCAGTCGCAGATATAGAAGAGGTAATAGTCATTACACACTAAGGACAAAACTCACCACAATGAAAATATAAGGGCATTGAATCCAATGGATGTACAAAAGTTGGAGAAGGCAAAGAGGATGAATATTCCATCAACAAGAAGCTCCCAATCCATAAGGCTCTTCATGGCATCTCGTGTCTCCCTAGAGCATGGCACACATCCACACAACTGCAAGAAATTTCTGTTAAATGACTGAAGGACTCAACCTTACATTTCATTGTTTGAATTAATAAATAGTGAATATGCACAGTAAAGTTATAAAAAATGCATCAGATTGTTCACATCATACCACATAGCTTCGGCAACCTTAAGAAAAGTTTAAAAGTTTCATAACTAAAAGCATTGTAAATCTTATTACAAAATATTCTCTATTACACTGTGAAAATATTTTTGGATCAACCAATAAATTTGAAGTATCTTAATCCAGATGATTAAAAAATTTTGGGTGTACCGCCAGGAAATGTTCAGTCTAACTTAGAGAAGAGAAAAGAGCATTCTAAATGCTATAAATTTGTAGAATCTTATAAAAATCAAAGAAACTGAAAATGTGAATAACCATTACATCTTCAGTGCATCAAAGTGTATTAATACAGATCATGGATAAAAAAAAATCACAAACATAAAGAAAATATATTCCTGTAAACAAAAGTGTACAATACATGTGAGACTGTCACTGTGTCTTACTAACTGACCTTTGCTTTTTCCACTTCACTGGGTGTCTCCTCTGTATCTGGGAGCCTGGCCATAGATGCCCTATAACTGCTTGGATTCTGTCTGAGAGGGAAAGTAGGAATTACTAAAGGACTCTCTATTGGTTTGGATGCTGCAATCCCAAGTTCTAAGTTTGGGCATATTTTAAGTAGGGTTCTACTCCAAAGGTAAGATCTACAAAGGTTCAAGGATAAGGAGAACAAGGAAACCAAAGTTTAGCATTGGATTTCACTGAAAATCCAATCTAAGAGATTAAAGAAAAACAAGTGCTGTCTGAAAGAGGGGAATATTAAAGGGTGTATCTCTGACATGGCACTAAAAGGTTGGTTGCTCATTGCACAGAGGGTCTAATTCATAGATAAATTTAATACTCAAGAGGAAAAAATAATTATGGAAGAACCTTGCAAAATGTACATGTTAAAATGGAAATTAGTAGAAGAACCATAAATGTATGGAATAGGAAAGTGATACTTTGTACTAATCAAACATGCAACATTTTTTTGGTGTTTAATGAAATATTTTCTCTCTCTTGGCAAGAAAGCAGAGACATGAAATAGAAATAGCCTTTTCCCACCTAACAATTACAAGTTGTAACAGATTAATTAATAAGTTAATATATTTCACGGAGGAATATCCAGAGGTTAATTGATACTA